CCTGAAGGCAGCAGAGATATCAGTGAACATTCAAGAGGGAAAATCTGATATGAAACAGAAAAATAAAGTCTCATATAAAGATCCTAAATGTCGATAGATTAATGCAATCTCATAAAAATTCCAAGGTGGTTCATAAAATAGACAAAAAAAAATCTCAAAATGTATAAAGAAGCACAAAACACCCAAAGCAATCCTGAAGGAAAAAGAATAATGTTGGAGACATCACTGTACCTGTCTTCAGGCTGCACTACAGCGCATGCTAAAAGCACAAAAGCAGGCACATTGATCAAAGAACACTCAAGAGAATCACAAGTATAAATCCACACAGCTGTGGCCACCTGACTTTCCACCAAAATCACAGCACAGAGGAAGCTGGGCTCTTCAACAAACTGTACTGGAAAAACTAGGCATCAATGTGCAGAGGAATGCAGCTAGATCTATAGCCGTTCTGAGTAAAAATGACTATAAAATAGAGTCTAAATGGACTAAACACCTCACTGTGAGGCCTGGAACCCTGCAATGGTTACAGATAAAAATTAATAAGACATCTCAAGATGTAGGCTTAGGCAAAGGCTCCCTGCATAGGACATCAGTTGTCCTGCTTCTGTACAACAAAGGATATAGCAGGGTGAAGAGACAGACGGAAGGAAAGGCAGGAACCCAGGCGAGGTCAAATTGTCTTTTCCAAAACATATCTTGTCAAAGGCCAAAAAGAAACTGTGCCAACTTAGGGCCAGGTGGTATATTCCAAAGATATCTCACTTACAGATGTCAAAGACAGTGGAGACACTTTGCTTACTCAGAGCCAAAGTGAAGAATAGCCTTAACACTCCCCTGTTGTAATAAGAGTGGCAGGGCTGCGTCCCCAGCACCCCGGCCGCCTGGCTAGCTTATGCCCCGAAATAACAACACACAAACTGTATTCTTTTAAACACTGCCTGGCCCATTAGTTGCAGCCTCTTAACCCATTTCTAATAATCCATGTAGCATACCCCACCTGGTGGCTGGCTGCATCACCGTCTGCCTCAGAGAGCAGAGCTATAGCGTCTGCCCTGGAGAGGGGAGCATGGCGTCTCTGAGCTCACTTTCTCTTCCTCCCAGCATTCTGTTCTGTTTACTCCACCCACCTATGTTTTAGCCTATCAGGGCCAAGCAGTTTCTTTATTGCTTAGCCAATGAAATCAACAGATTGATATATGACACTCCCACATCACTTCCCCTTTTTCTGTTTAAACAAAAAAAGGAAGGCTTTAACTTTAACATAGCAAAATTACATATAACAAAACAGTTATCAAGTAAAAATTACAATATTTACATCTATTTTATCTTTATCATAACTAAGGAAAACTATAACTAACTATTCTTCAACTCTATCAAAGACTCCAGAAGAATTCAATATTGCCTAAGCAAACAAAAAGTAAGCAACTTTCAAAACTCTAGAAATGACAGAGACATCTCGCTGCCTGTACAGTCACCCAAAATTCCTCTGTACCGTTGGGGCATCAGTCTTCAGCCTTCAGGCCCATAGTATCCAGAGACATTTCCATGAAGCAGGAAATTTCAAAAGGCAGTT